ATATATAAATAAAATGGAGTATATAATAATTACCATTACTGTCAGTGTGACGATATTGTCTGTGTCATTAGTTACATTCAAGCCTTTGTTATTCATTATCCGTATTACTCCTGTTGTTGGTATTATCCCAAATAATCCTTCATCATTTCCAGAAATTATTGAATAAGTTACGTGGGATGTTTTGTCAGCATCTACAGCTTCCACAATAAGATCCGGATTGAATTTTGTTGTTCCCTCATTGATGAAAGCTCTGTATACCGATTGTGTGAAGTCTGGAGCATTGTCGTTACTATCTGTTAAAGAGATTTTGAGAAGGACCGTTGAAGTCTGCCCCTTTCCATCATCGTCGGTAGCCTGAAAGAAATTTTATGATTGTGAATTTATCAATCGCAATCGATTAAAATAATTTCGACAAGCAGTATGAAAATTGATTACTCTGCATATTTCATTCCATTGACTCACCATAAACTGTAGTTGATATTCTGACTTCGACTCATAATCGAGACAAGGCGGTTTTCCAGGTTGTTCACAAAATGCCACAGTAACAGTACCCGTTCGAGTATTAACAGTAAATTTATCTGCTCCGCTTCCTCCTAACTTATAGATAATACCATTCTCGCCAAACCTTCCACTGTCTCTGTCCTTAGCTACGATCGTTGCAACTAGAGTACCTGGCGTAGCAACTTCCGATATACTAGCCGTGTAACTTTCTTGATCGAATATTGGGGCATTGTCGTTTATATCGGCCACTGTGATGGTTACAGTGGCAGTAGAGGAAAGCTTTTCGTTGGTGTAAAGTTCTCTCGCAACTGCCAAGATTATGAATTTTCTCTGATTAGGGTTCTCATAGTCTAGAGAGCTGTTCGCTACTCGTATGGTTACTGGAGTGAATCCGATTGCGGTTTTAGGTTCTATAGAAAATACCTCAGATATGTCTATGAGTTCGAGGGAAAATGCTGAGTTGTTTCCCTGAAAATAATTTACATAAATCTTGAATTAAAACAAAAAATAAGAACTAAAAAGAAGAACCTCTGGCGTAGAATTGAATATAAAACAATTGAATATAAACACTGCTCTCACACACCAGAACTACAACACTCTTATTGAAGCACGTTTCCACCAAATAACTGAGCACAGTCAATAGATGAACTATATATATATACCATTCAATAAATTGAGAGCATATAGTTGACGCAATCTTAGTTGGAGGAAAGTGAATAGAGGCATTGCACTTCTAGTGTGAGATCAGTATTTGAGATGGATTGAATAGAAACATTTTGAAAGTGAGTAGGTTAAAAATATCTACATAATATATACATACATATTTAAATCATGGGATTTGTGAATGATGATCCAAGGACCTTCTTTGAGAAGTGGAACGTGGAAATTCAGAAGGGACCATATTATTACGAAAGAATATCAACCAGTAATGATCTCGCGCAACCGTGGAGTAAGTGATCACTTTTTCCAAGAATCATGTGCTCTGAGAACACGTAGCGCAACAATGATGTATTTGTTCAGCTGAGATTCCTCTCATATTAAGGCAAGCCTCTATGATCTGATGAAAGATGGTTAGATGGAAGAGCAATTTCTGCCTTGAGTTATCATGCGCAGACGTTCAATTCTCTGGTACTGAGTAACCTTTCAATAAAAGCATATATAATTTTTTTTCCGAAGTATACGCTGGTCAGGCCCAATCCCCAGAAGCTCTGATATATATTCGGGAGGGCGCGCCAGCATTATCAACCAACGACCACTTTCGTCACCGTGGGGTAAGTGATCATTGGGTCCGACAATCATGTGCCCCGAGCAAGCGCAGTGAGCAAAGAATGACAGTCTACTGCATCTGTCTGGCTAAGATTTCTGTCTTAGTGTGGCAAGCCGGTACGATTTTAAGATTCGAGAGTAGAGAGGGCATCATTCTACGAAGGACTCCAATAATCAGAACAACCATCTTGACAGAGTGATCTGGATAGAGTCTGCGGAGTTAGAAGAGAAAATCTCGATATTTTATCCGTTTTTTCTCCTCTTTTCTGACGATATTCGTCTCGCCAGGAGCTGAAAACTCCTGGCACAAAATTCTCCTATGATCAGCAAAAACAATTTATCGGAGTGATATGGGTAGAGTCTGCATAGATCGAAAAGTGAATCTCGATATTTCTTCCCCCTTTTTGGAGTGGAAAACTACATGTTGAATATAATCTGAAAGTGATGATCGAGATGAAATACATTAGCTTGTATTCCCGTAAAGTATGGCATGCATGGTGTTTTATCAATACCGTCGGTAGATATAGACTGAAATCACATATGCTGGACATGCCTACAGGTAATGCTCTTGGGTCTCAGTCAACTCGCAGTAGGTGTTGAAACACCATCTTGATTTTTCGACATCAGCCCACTCAACATGAGGTCAGGTTCTTGCTCGAGCCAAGGTCTTCATTGTCCTCAAAGAGGCTTCGGTTCATCCTTATGTATCCACGGAAGTTAATTAATCTATTCGATTTTTGATTGAGTTTTTTTTTGTGAACACTCCAATACCTATGAATGCATGGTCAAGTATCATACAAAGGAGAGGATCCGAATTTCTGGCGTGTTTACAGGTTTTAGCCTAAACGGCATGTTATATGGATACTCGAAACTCCCACTTCTACGGTTTCCTAGGTAGGATTCAGAATGCAATAGCTTATTTAGTTGCATTGAAGATTTCCTAACTGTCATCACCTCTTGGCAGTGCCGTTGTTCCACCCCAAGGCAGGTAGGTCCAAAATAAGAGGGCCTCTTGGCAGTGCCGTTGTTCCACCCCAAGGCAGGTAGGTCCAAAGTAAGAGGGCCTATTTGATTCTCCACTGCAACCCGCGAGAGTTTGTTGTGGTTCATACCTCTTCATAAACTAGATAACCAATAAATCCAGCTAATAAATGAAGCCGAATATTTCATTTGTCAAGTGATCTTTCATTTCAGCTGACAAGAAGGGGACTCTGACAAATGCTGAAAACCGAATCCGATTTGCAGCGAGGCGGGCACCCAATATGTGCTCTGCTCCCAGGGCCTACATTTCTTTATGAAGAATAACCGGCTCCGAGGTTTATGACAGAATTTGGTACACAATCCTCAATCTAGTGAGAAGCTGATTGGTGGTCACACGTGTGACTTGGATATCAAACTCCTGTGAGGCATTTGAAGAAGAAGCTTTTCCATGACTACAAGATACTAACTGCACCCACCAACCAGGAGACTTTCTTCTGATCTGGTCGTAGGGAACCAATAGTCGCCCAGGCGAAAAATGCAGCACCAAAATCGTACCTGTGGATTTCATTCTGGAAAAATGTGTTATGCTATGCCTCACTCTGGAAAAAGGTTATATGCTTCAGTAAGTCATAATGGCATACTGAAGAGATTTCGTCGATATAGAAGTTGTCGGATGTTCAAGTTGCGACCTCTCCACCTGAGGTAATCTGAGTCAGCTATGTCCTACCTGTCCTGTTTTTTAACTTGATGCAAATAATGTTTCTGTTGCTCAAAAATTTGGTGCAAGGAAAAATTCATAACGTTTCGAATAGATAACAAGTCGCTTCCTGGGTACCCCACCTAGCCTCCTACATTTGTTACCATGATCAGGAGTGGAAGAACTTGTGCCAATATCATAGGAAGGACACCGCATATCTACTCTGTAGACTCAGAATTGGATCCTTTGGTTATTTCATAGTCCGTAATCTATCCCATGAATATCTAGAACTAGGTGGTACATCACGGAAAAGATCAGCATTAACGTGATAAGGCTTTCTATGCCCAGTATCTCAAAAATTCCATAAGTGAACTCCGAGTCAAACATACTTTCGGTATGGATATACACACACGTTCAGGAGGACTTCCACAAATGGTATAGAATACTTCCGTCTACGAAATGCATATTCTTTCCATAATTCTCGTATAATCCATTTCATTGATGTTGGTTGTTGAAAATCCTAATTTATTTTGAAAAGTAGTATTCATAGAAATAGTTGTATTGAATTTAGTCTTTTCATAATGTCAAGTTTACTTACGTGTCTCAGGGATTTTTAACATTTTCATCTATTTCAATTTCGTCGGGAAATCATGAACATACTGTTTTGCGAAGTATTCTTGGTGACTAATGAAAATTATCTTATTGAATCTCTGGCATATCCGAATTCACATATTATTGATGAAATTTATGCAAGATCATCAATGCTCTTGGAACACGATAATCACAACCCGAATCAATCATTTTCCGCTGGCCACTCGAACGCTACCATAACAATGGACCATTATTCAATATTGTTCACTGGAAGTGAATTCGTATCATCACAGAATAATGCAGCAGGAATCATGCCAGAACGGAAGGAGATTCGATGAGAAAGCGATTAGTGTTAGTTGAACTCAGAAAACAGAATTCAGTTATTCCAAGTATGGAAACCAAATCTTCTCCGTAAATCTGTTTGTTCAAATGTTATTAATGGATTGTGGTGTTGAATCAAAATAAATCATTTCTATTTACGGATGATAAAAATAGCCTATCATTACATTGCGACTTTATTACAAAACCTATTATGATATTAAGTCTTCAGCAATTGTTTTTTACCAATACTCCTGAAATATCATTTACCACAAATCGTTATATCCTTTCAACTCAAAGTGAGATTTTGTTTTTGAAAAATACTTCCTGAGCTAAAGTAGCTTTTAAAAAACTGAAAAGAAGTGTTTTATTCATTCCTTCCTCAGATATTTGCAGTTTTTAGTAGGGAATTTTCTATATTTTGTTTTTTAAAGGTTATACCTCGAGTTTAGTAGTTTCAATAGGTACGCCGAAGTCGTATATTGAGAAATTTCATCTATACTAATATAAACGTGAACGTTTGTGAGGATGGATGTATGTATGTATGTGTTTAGGGCTCTTTCACGCCTAAACGAATGAAATGATTTAGATGAAACTTTACATAAATACAGCTTATATATCAGAATAACATATAGAATACAATTCATGAGGGTTTTGTGTAATTTTGGTCATAATATAACGATAAGTATCAGGTAAGTCGGAAAAATTCTTGCTCCCTAAGAGCTATCTTGGCGTGTGCTGCCTATACCGTTGGAGTCACATATAGATAATGTAACGTAAAATTATTTATCTTAAATAGTTCTGAATGAAAGTTTGCAATAGCACATAGAAAATTATACTACAACAGTTGTGATACCCATATGTTCTTTCACTGACAAAATAGTGATATATAAAAAAAGTTATTCGATTTATTATTACCAGTGATTTTTTAAATCGCTTTGAATTTGGATATCGTAATGAATCTGAAGCTGGCCCTGACCGATATCTCAGCTAGCAAACATATGACTTCCTGCGAACCGCCACGAAAAGTCTAGATGAGTGCCGAAACGACTAGAGAGATTTGGAGTGATCGTTGCCGTCCCAACCCGAGATGGCAGTTTGTATTCAGGAAGCGAATCGAGCGGTAAACGAAGAATTTGAACAGTGAAGATAAATTAAGCGTTAGTTGCTAAGTGTTGAATATAAATTAGTTGTGATAGTGAAGTATTGTTGAATTTGTTTTATACAGTTAATTCTTCAATTCATGACAATTGGTGATCAGAAGTGGATTTTTAAAATGAATTTGTGAGCGCTTGGTGGACAATCTTTGTATTACGGTGAAATTGACTATGAAACTTTCGCGCAGAGAGACTGATGATTCATTGTGTTTCGCGAAGTGGACAGTACCGGACTACGAAAACATAAACTGATAGACTTTTCTCGCGAAAAATAGATTTGTGAAAATAAATAAGTGTTTCGGACTCGAATAAAATGAATAGACGTATTCAGTTTTGTGGAAAATAGACAATAAAAGACAAAATGTGTTGGAAAAAAGTGTGCCTAGTGGACTTGAAAGTCGCCTAATTGAAGCAAGAATTGGAGGAGAGAGAGCTAGATTATTCCGGAAAGAAATCAG